CAATGATAGAATTTCACCAAATTTCGAACGACTGAAATGATAATCATCATACCATTACTGTTGCTGTTGTTGGTGGTGTGATGATGCTGATAATATCTATTGCTAATGATAGAAATTATATCAATAATGACAGGTATATTAGCGATACTATTACTACAGATAATAACAATGGTAATAATAATAATAGAGAGGAATGAATCATCACAACCAACTAAGGTTTCCATTGACAAGTATCCACTAGCTTTTATCTTATGTTTGCAGCATAAGTGCTTCTTTTCTTATAACTTATCGCTTCTACCATCATACAGCGGTAAAAATATAATTTTGCCAAATCATCATTCGACTTGCTATCACAATGAAAATGGTTTACACTGTGAAATAGCAATAGTAATAGTTTTCCGATACCAACATCATCCCTCTAGTTGTCCTGATATGGTAGGCGGAACTGCCCATCACACACAGTCAGTGGTTTTTGCTGCTTTACATATTATAGCTTTTGCATCTTTCAAGACACTTCCATGCGACTCATGCCTGCTAGTCAGGTTTTATGGTTGTTATATATATATATATATATATATTATATATATATTAGTATAAGTATTATTGTATGTGTGTGTGTGTGTGTGTGTTGTGTGTGTGTGTGTGTGTATGTGTGTGTGTGTGTGTGTGTGTGTGTGTGTGTGTGTGTGTGTGTGTGTGGTGTGTGTGTGTGTGTGTGTGTGTGTGTGTGATGTGTGTGTGTGTGTGTGTGTGTGTGTGTTGTGGTGTGGTATGTGGTGTGTGTTGTGTGTGTGGTGTGTGTGGTGGTGTGTGTTGTGTGTGTGTGTGTGTGGTGTGTGTGTGTTGTCGATAAAATAATGAAATGTGAAGAATATTAACTGCTGAAAAGAATTGTCACTAAAAATACTTATCTAGTGCTAGCTATGCCTTGTTTTGCCTTAAGATACAACAGAATTACTGTAAGCACTGAAAGGTCATCTTTGATTTTTAATAGTCAAATTTTTCCATGTTGTCATAGTATAGCACTGATTATCTCCTGCATATTGCCAGACCTTCATTTGAAACCACCGTGGCTTTGCAAACTTTTTGAAGACAGTAGGCTTCGAGGCAGGTAGAAAAAATTCCATCCGTGTCATCCACGTCAACAAAACAATAAGCGTATATATATTTTTTAATGCTTGAATAATTAAATGTATAACGCAAGGCCGTATCGTATATAGGGAATATGCCTACTTATGCCCCTTTTTTGTGGTTGCTCTCCAAATCCTATCAAAAGATTCCCCTTCCGTTACTGAATCCTTCTTATCGCCAATTTCCTTTGCATGGCCATGGCGCACAACATTTAAGAAGGAAAATGAAAACACTGATCAAAAGAATAGAAAGGTGGTTGTCCAAGGGATGCCTTTTGCAATCATGGAAGGAAATCGAATATTGACCTCTTTTTCACAACTTTTCTGTTGGAAAATACGCTCACTAGCTTTCTATGAGGGAATCTGTTAGGGCAACAGGGGCAGCAAGATGGCAAAGAGGGAGGGGGAGGGGGAACAGACTCTGAATCCCCTGTTATTCCAACGTCCCTGACCAGATCTGCAAACTGCATTTAGGGTCGGAGCTAACACTCTGACCAACATCATACTTACATATAATGACAATTAATGATATCTTGCTCAGAGTTTGTAAACATTTCCACATCAATAAAGGCGGCGTCACACAAACACCTGCAGATTTGATGTACCAAAGTGACTGTTTTCCTCTTCGTCCACACTTCACAATTCAGTTACGACAAATATAACGTAGTTACCCCTTTAGAGCAGTATTCGAAGAAAACAAAAAAGAATTTTGTTCGTAGAAAACGTAATAATTACTGGACAGACTATTTTCGTTTAATAGGGTTAATGAAAATAATGATACTGAAAATTCATACACACACACACGCAGGCACACTTACACATATATATATAGTTACATAAACACACACACTCATATATACTCATACACATAATTACTGGACACACTATTTTCGTTTAATAGGGTCAATGAAAATAATAATAAAACTGAAAACACACGCACACACACATCCGAACCCTGAACGCCGTTGCAAGCGATATATATTAATGTGTGTGTATATATATATATATATATATATATATATATATATATATATATATATATATATATATATATATATATATATATATATATATATATATATATATATATATATATATATATATATATATATATATATATATATATATATATATATATATATATATATATATATATATTATATATATATATATATATATATATATATATATATATATATATATAATATATATATATATATATATAATACATATATAATATATTATATATATATATATATATATATATATATATATATATATATATATATATACCTCCCAAGGGATTCGAAAACTCAATGCCGTTGCAAGTGATTGCAAGACAGTCACTCTAACCACTGATGCACGACCCACTTAACAGGAGTGTGCAACTAGGAGCTAGCTAGCATCCATAGACATTACCTAAATACTCAAACATGAGTAAGTATAGCAAAGTTTTACACACTCCCCTGGGAGTGTGTGATTTGGGATTTGAAATACTCTTTCTATGTATATGTGTGTGTAAAACTTCGCTACACTTACTCATGTTGAGTATTTAGGTAATGTCTGTTAAGTGGGTCGTGTATAAGTGGTTAGAGTGACCGTTTTGCAATCACTTTTAGGCATTGAGGGTTCGAATTTATATATATATATATATATATATATATTATATATATATATATATATATATATATATTATATATATATATATATATATATATACATATATATTTATATATATCTATATCTATCTATCTATTTATCTATCTATTATCTATCTATCTATATATATGTATGTATATAAGTATATAGATATATATATATATATATATATATATATATATATATATATATATATATATATATATATATATATATATATATATATATATATATATAATATATATATATATATATATATATATATATATATATATATATATATATATATATATATATATATATATATATATATATATATATATATATATATGTATATATATATGTATTTTATGTGTATGCATGCAGGTTCATTCACTTTCTCAGTGAATGAACAGTGTCTTTTGCTTGTCACAGTGAAATAAAATCCATAATGGAAAGAGGAAATTATTTTTAATTTATTTTTATTTATAATTTTTACAGTTGTGTATGCAAAAAACTTTTATCCCCCATAGTATTGGTTAGTTTATATACAACTTTCCTATTCCGAGTTGTGAAACTTAATTTCACTGAGATAATTAGAAAGCAGTAATGCAATTTTCTTGCAAGATGCAATGTCTGCTTTCATCTCTTCCATTCCATAGTTTGTATATATTCCCTCTCCACCTGTGATTTGCATCTTCTCTCTATCTTCTTTTTCATATATATCCAGGTTTCATAAATGTGAAGGTATGCACATTGACATATCTGCTTAAGATTGGGATAAATCAAAATACAATAACAATATAATCTTTTACTAACTGTAATGGATGGACTAGTGGGAATCACTGTAATTACCTAATTATAAATATTTTGTACTAAGTAGCCCTAAATATGTGCAGATTCTCTTCAACAACTTGATGATGGGACGATATGACTAGAATAAATCAATGCACTCTACTTTACACGGATATTAAGAAACATTACCAATTTAGTTGCTTACCCTAACGACCAAAATTTCAAAAAAGAAAATCATTTGAGAAAAACAAACATCTTTTTCTTGCAGCATATTCCTATTTTCTTTAATATAATTGTGATGACATTATGAGTGATTTTAGTATTTGATTACTTCTAATTATTAATACTGGAACAAAAACATTACCCATTGTGGTACCTACATCTGCAAATATTCTCCAAGACTTACATTAACTTCAAAATGAAATATATGCCTGTTAATGGAGAAACAATAATTCCTTACATATAACATGTTTATCTAAAGAGGCATTACTGTCTTCTACTTAGCCGAATGATCTATATTGATAAAAAGCAGATATACAGCATAACAAAGTGCACCTTAGGCACATGTGAAATTCAAAATATTGATACCCTGTTTAAAATCTAAAAATAGAATTTCATTACTATCAAAAAGAAATACATCAAAAATAGCCAAAAAAGCACAGACAACAACAACAACAAAAATGTTACTTTACCTACAATAGATGCATCTGTAATATAAATTAATTCAGACTGAATTATTAAAAGTTCTTCCATATTTACAACATTCTTAGAATTGAGTCTGCTTTAAAACTTCAAATAGAACATAGATTCCTATTTTACAGTGTACAGTTTACTTATTAACAACATGTAGACAAAGTTATTCTCCATTATAGTTTCTCCTTTCTATTGCTTTCTGTAAAAATGTTAAATCCAATTATGCAGTATAATTAGACAAATAAAAATTGAAAGTTTCCCTTCTTAGCTTCTATGAGCTCATCTATTAACTGACAAGCCTTTAAATTCATATCATTTATTAGAGACTTATCAAAGAAGTAAGACATATTGCACAATAATTTTTCTGAGCAACAATATGTGAATTTGAACACGCAGCTATAATATACATCAGACACATAACCATTGACAAAGAGGTGGGGATAATTGCACAGCACACTTTTGTTTCACTACATCACATTTTTTTTTCTTTGTCTGCCCAATTGTCTCAAAATTAAAACAGCAGAGTGTGTATATGACATCAAAATTGATTTAAAAAATGAAGAAATAAATGAACACATATATATATATATATATATATATATATATATATATATATATATATATATATATATATATATATATATATATATATATATATATATATATATATATATATATATATATATATATATATATATATATATATATATATATATTATATATAATATATATATACGACAGAGACAGAGACAAAATACATAAAACTGCACCCTCTGTAGTAAGTAGCATATTTTCTTTTTTCTCAAATGAAAAGTATCTTTATAAGTTTCTAAATCTTGGTTTATTCTGCAGCTCTGGATGTTTTCTCCACATCTTCATCCTTAAAGCCAAAGGTAAGTGTCTGAAATGATAAAATTAGGATTAAAATGTGCATATTTTTGAGAATAGGAGAAAGAGCTCAGGGCAGAGGGGATGTGGCAGTGGGAAAGAGGCATGTGAAGAGAGAAAAAGAGAGAGAGAGAGAGAGAGAGAGAGAGAGAGAGAGAGAGAGAGAGAGAGAGAGAGAGAGAGAGAGAGAGAGAGAGAGAGAGAGAGAGAGAGAGAGAGAGAGAGAGAGGAGAGAGAGAGAGAGAGAGAGAGAGAGAGGAGAGAGAGAGAGAGAGAGAGAGAGAGAGAGAGAGAGAGAGAGAGAGAGAGAGAGAGAGAGAGAGAGAGAGAGAGAGAGAGAGAGAGAGAGAGAGAGAGAGAGGAGAGAGAGCGAGAGAGAGAGAGAGAGAGAGGAGAGAGAGAGAGAGAGAGAGAGAGAGAGAGAGAGAGAGAGAGAGAGAGAGAGAGAGAGAGAGAGAGAGAGAGAGAGAGAGAGAGAGAGAGAGAGAGAGAGAGAGAGAGAGATGGGGGGAAGGTACAGATAAAGAGGACAAGAAATGGAAACTACATGGAACAATGAGAGAGAAAGATATATTTCTGTTTCTTATTCTTTAACCAATGATCTAGTTTTATAAAGCAAAATATAATTTCAGTTCTGAGTGCATTTGGTTATAAATCATTTAAACTGAAGCAAACATCCTTCAATATAACAATTAATGTAATAAATGTATG